TTAGGTAAAGCTGAGGGCAAATAATTTCGACAGGATTTACTGAAACTTATGCTCGGGTGAAGCTGAGAGCGAATTAGTTCGACTGGATTTATTGAATTTTATGCTTAGGTGAAGCAGAGGGCAAATAAGTCCGACTGGATTACACAAAAATTGGAGACAATTCCACAGCCTTGCCTCTCGCAGCCTGAACTGTGCACAAAAGTTATACCTTTGTTTCTTTATCTTCGAAATCTTACCGGAGCAAAGGCTGACTTCATCTCTGGGCATCCATTCTACCCTGTTTTTGCCCACCTCATGGAACTTATTCGCTCTCAGCTTTACCTAAGCATCAGTTTCATAAAAAGAGGAAGTCCCCTACTGATGACGGGTTTTTATGGATCAGTTTCCACTAGCAAAACGTTAGTGTCTTTTGCTTTTCATAAAGTCAAATTTAATTTACTTTTACTTGTGTGCGCGGTGTTGTCTTTTTCTCTTTACTGCTGTCTTCAGTTCTTGCCTCGAGTTCTTGACTTGCATCCTTATTCCCCTTCTCTACCCTGTCCCAAATCCTGCTAGCAAACTAGATATAGATTCTTCTCCATCCCTACTATAATATCACTGTTCAAGCAAACAGTATTTACCTTTCCTTACCCCAGGTATCTACGGTAAAAACCAGGACACACTTTCCCATCCTTTCCTTTCTTCACCGCTCCCCTCTAATCTCCAAATGTACGTTACTTAGTCGACCGGCAAAGGATTTACGTCAGTTAGTCCTTACATCCGCCTATCCTAGCCCCCCTCGCCTGCTTCGAACGAAACCCGCCACATATCAGCCCCACTCCCACCTGCCACATTCAAACAGCTGCCATCCGCCGTGGGACAACCCTACCAGCCGTCGGGAGAAAAAATTTTTTGCAGCTCGTGTATAAGACAAGCCGAGTTATTGTAATTGCCCAAATCACTGGGGTAGGGGAAAGGTGAAATACCACGTGCTTGCACTGTGCCGTTACAGTAGGAATGGAGAGAGGCCTGGATTTTGTTTGCTGATAGGATTTGAGGTCAGGATAGAGAAGGAGAACGAGGATATATGTCAGGAGCTCGAAGCAAGAGCTGGAGACAGCAATAAAAAGATTTAGTAGAAAGTGCATTGGCTGCGGGTGCGAAGATGCGTTTTTTGCACAGTTCCCTGCAAGTTTTTTATTGCTAATGGCACTGTTTTTTCCGGCAAATGCTTCTGGCTAAGAGAATTGAGAGTAGCTACTACGGCTGTTAGAAATTATTAGTGACTACAATCCGTGTACAAAAATTCAGCACTCTAGCTGCTCTGGCTGCGGAGTTACATCAAATTTCACGTTTTCGTACGTGAGACGTGAAAGTGATGTGCAAGTGTTTTTTGCGTACATCTGGTCAAAAACCACCGTCAGTTATGCTTAGAAAGTTCCATTTCTATAGCTACTTCAATTCTAAAGTTACAAAAGTGCATGCGTGAAATTTTCTCGTGTCCGTACGTGAGATGCAGAACGGCTGGAAAACTCAATTCGTTTTCACAGACACAACAGTGGGCGACAAGTAACGTTGTAAAATTGCACCTCTCTATAACTTATTGATCAGCTTAAATCTGGACTTGGCGTGATGCCAGTTTAAACTCTGACGTGTGCGTACGTGAAACCTAGGGTGCATGAAGGCTGAATTTGAAATCTTTGGATTAGACGTTGCGAAGAAACATCTCTGTGAAGTCCCATCCTTCTAGCTGGCGCCGTTTCCGAA